CATATAATACCAGAAGTTTATTCTTTGATCAGATCAGCAAAATTGACAACCCTTTAGCCAGAAGAACTAAGGAAAAAAAATAAAAGGAGAGGGGATTCAAACTGCTAAAATCAGAAATGAAAGTACTATCTATTCTGTAGAAACAAAAGAAAACTATAAGAGAGCGTTATGAACAATTGTACACTAAACAAGTTGAACAACCTAGATGAAACGGACAAATTCCTAGAAACACAAAACCTACCAAGGCTAAATCATGAAGAAATGAAAAATCTGGATGGATCTATAACTAGTAAGGAGATTGAATCAGTAATCAAAAATCCCCACAGAAAGAAAAGCTTTGGATTTGCTGGCTTTACATGGTGAATTCTACTAAACATTAAAAAAGAATGAGGACCAATCCTCAAATTGTCCATAAAATTGTAGAGGAGGGAATGCTTTAGGCTATGAGGCCTATATTACTCAGATGCCAAAGCTGCACATAGACACTAGAAGAAAGGAAAATACAAATGAATATCCCTTATTGGCTTTGATGAAAAAATAGTCCCTAACACACTAGGAAACAGAATTCCTCAGCATATTGAAAGGTTTATACACCATCACCAAGTAGGATGGTTCTACATATGAAAATTGATCAATATAACACGTCAAGAGACAGGGGAAAAACCACATAGTCACTTCAATTGCTGCAGGAAATGTATTTGATAAAATTCAACACACACTCATGACAAAAACATTTAACAAACTAGGAAAAGAAGGAAACTACTTCATCATCATAAAGGCCAGATATGAAAAGTTAACAGCAGAAGCTGTACTTGATGGTGAAAGACTGAAAGCTTTTCCTGTAAGGTCAGGAAGAAGACAAGGGTGCCTACTTTCACCGCTTCTATTCAACATTTTACTAGAATGTCACAGACTATGAGCCTGGAGTTCTCTTGTCCAACAAGAGAGCAGATGCAGAAATGAAAACCAGAGAGTCTGACGTCCGGGAGGAGACAAGAGCCCTGAACAGGGATTTCATCTCCGTATTTATTGAACTCTCAAGATTTTACATATGTGGTAAACATGCAGAAGGAAAAGATCAGATAGTTACCATTAACTTGTGTGTGTAAGAAGCAAAGGGTTTGGGGGGCAAGTGGCGTTTGAAGTTGAGATCAAAGCACAATGATATACTGGTACCAGATGGAAAGTGTTTTTCTGTAGGCAATACAGCCAATTAGCTGTTATCTCTTAAGGTTTAAGATTGCTGGAGCATGCAGCCTCAGGGTTAACAAGGCAATCTTCAGCTAGCTAACCCTGGATGCTTTTGCCCTGCAGCAGCTTTCTGCCTCCACGCTTCTGTCCTACTTAGTGACTGGCCTTGAGCATGTAAAACTGCCCTGCCCCGGCAGCTTTTCTCCTAAGCCTTGTTAACCTATTGATTGCTGTATGCTACAGAATTCTTTAAAAAATTTTTTTAATGTTAATTTCTTAATTTTTGAGAAAGAGAGATAGAGTGCAAGTGGGGGAGGGGCATAGAGAGACCAAGACACAGGATCCGAAGTAGGCTCCAGGCTCTGAGCTGTCAGCACAGAGCCTGATGTGGGGCTCGAACCCACGAACCATAAGATCATGACCTGAGTTGAAGTTGGATGCTTAACAGACTGAGCCACCCAGGTGCCCCTAAGCTATAGAATTCTTAAAACTTATTTCCCTTACTGGAAGATCTAGCCATTTAGACAAGAAAAAGAAAGAAAAGTCATCAAATTGTAAAAGAAGAAATAAAATTATCTCTGTTTATGGATGATAGGATATAATATGTAGAACATTTTAAAATCCTATAGATGGGGCGCCTGGGTGGCTTAGTTGGCTGAGCGTCCGACTTTCGCTTAGGTCATGATCTCACAGTTCGTGGGTTCGAGCCCCGCGTTGGGCTCTGTGCTGACTGCCAGCTCAGAGCCTGGGGCCTGTTTCAGAGTCTGTCGCTCCCTCTCTCTCTGACCCTCCCCTGCTCACGCTCTCTCTCTCTCTCCTTGAAATAAATAAAAATATTTTAAAAAAATAAAAAAATAAAATCCTCTAGAATACTGTTAGAACTAGTGAAATCAGTAAGGTAGCAGGATACAAAGCCCACGCCAAAAATCACTTGCATTTCTATGAAGAATCTGAAAAGAATTACAAAAACAATTCAATTTACAACAGTATTAGAGAGAATAAAATACTTAGAAATTAATTTAACCCAGGAGGTGAAAAACTTGCACAATGAAAAGTATAAATCCTTGCTGAAAGAAATTAAAGAAGACATAAATAAATGGAAATGCATCCCAGTGTTGGAAGACTTAATATCATTAAAGTGTCAATACTACCCAAAATATTCTACAGATTCAACTCAGTCCAAAAAAAATTCCAATTTTTTTTTCAGAAATAGCGAAACTCATCAAAACAATGTAGTATTGGCATAAAGATGGATATGTTGACTGAATGGAATAAAATAGGGACCCCAGAAATAAACCCTCACATATATGTTCAAATCATTTTTTTTATTTTTATTTTATTTTTTTTTAATTTTTTTTAATGTTTTTATTTATTTCTAGGAGAGAGAGAGACAGTGTGAGCAGGGGAGGGTCAGAGAGAGAGGGAGACACAGACTGAAACAGGCTCCAGGCTCTGAGCTGGCAGTCAGCACAGAGCCCGACGCGGGGCTCAAACCCACGAACCGCGAGATCATGACCCAAGCGAAAGTCAGACGCTCAACCGACTAAGCCACCCAGGCGCCCCTGTTCAAATCATTTTTGACAAGAATGCCAAGTCCATTACACAGGGAAAGGACCGTCTGTTCAACAAATGGTGCTGGGAAAATTGAATATCCACATTAATTAAAAAATGGGTCAAGGACCAAAATAAGACCTAAAATAATAAAATTTCTAGAAGAAAATAGGACAAACGTTTCATGACATCAGATTTGGCAATGATTGCTGATATGACATCAAAGGCACAGGTAACAAATGAAAATTGGAGAAATTAGACTTCATGAAAATTTTTAAATATTTTGTATCAAAGGACACTATCATCAGAGTAAAAAAGTAACTCATAGGGGACCTGGGTGGATCAGTCAATTAAGCGTCCAACTGTGGTTCAGGTCACGATCTCCAGGTTCGTGAGTTCGAGACCTGCATTGGGCTCTGCTCTGGTGGTTGCAGAACCTGCTTGGGATTCTCTCTCATTCCTCCCCGCCCTCTGACCTCCCCCACCACGCGCACTCTCTTTCTCTCTTATTTAATGAATAAATAAACTTAAAAAAAAAAAGAAACCTCAATGACTTTCCATCTCTTTAAAAAAGGTAATTTACAGAATAGGAGCAAATATTTGCTAATCATATATCTGATAAAGGATTAATATCAGAATATATAGAGAACTCCTAAAACTCAACTCAAAATGCCTTGAATAGCTATTTCTCCAAAGAAGAGACACAATATACTCACACAAAGGTGTTCAACATCACCAATTATTAGGGAAATGCAAAAGAAAACTAGAGTGAGATACAACTTCATATCCATTAGGATGGTTACCATCAAGAAAATAGAGGGGCGCCTGGGTGGCTTAGTCGGTTCAGCGTCCAACTTCGGCTCAGGTCATGATCTCGCGGTTCGTGGGTTTGAGCCCCGCGTCGGGCTCTGTGCTGACAGCCAGCTCGGAGCCTGGAGCCTGTTTCAGTCTGTGACTCCCTCTCTCTCTGACCCTCCCCTGCTCACGCTGTCTCTCTCTCTCTCTCTCTCTCCTAGAAATAAATAAAAAATTTAAAAAAATAAAAAAAAAAAGAAAATAGAAACACGCCTGTATGCAAGGATGTGGAGAAATTGAAGCCCTTGTGTCTATCGGTGGGAATGTAAAATTGTCTAGTCATTATGGAAACTGTAAGTGGTTCCTCAAATAATTTAAAATAGAATTACCATATGGCACAATAGTTCTACTTCTGGGTATATAATTTTTGTAAAAGAACCGAAAGCAGGGTCTCAGGTACGTGTACACCGCTTTTCATAGCAGCATTATTCACAACAGCTAAACTGTGGAAGCAACTTAAGTGTTCATCAATGGATGAATAAAGAAGACTTAAATGTTTAGCGATAAAAGGGGAAGACATTGTGCAACATGCAACATGGATCAACTTTGAGGGCATTGGCTAAATCAAATTAGCCAGGCACTAAAAGACATAAACTGCATGATTCCACTTATAGGAAGTACTTAAGAGTAGTCAAATAATAAAGACAGGGGCGCCTGGGTGGCTCAGTCGGTTCAGCGTCCGACTTCAGTTCAGGTCACGATCTCACGGTTCGTAGGTTCAAGCCCCTTGTTGGGCTCTGTGCTGCCAGCTCAGAGCCTGGAGCCTGTTTCAGAGTCTGTGTCTCCCTCTCTCTCTGGCCCTCCCCTGCTCACGCTGTCTCTCTCTCTCAGAAATAAATAAAAAACATTAAAAAAATAACAGACAAAAAGTATGATATGCTTTTGCCCTTTTGGCAAAAGGGAGTAAGGGAGAGTTACTGTTCAATGGGTATACAGTTTGCGTTTCACAAGATCAACACAGGGGACCGATGGTGGTGCTCATCCCACAATGTTAATGTACTTGACACCATTTAACCGTACACTTAAAATTATTAAGACGGTAAATTTTATGGTATGTGCGTTGCTGCTTCTTTGGTCTGGACCCAAAAAGAATCGAGCAGGTTTCAGGCGCTGCGAAGCGGCCGAGGAGACAGAGGGACAGAGCAGTCGGCGAGGCCGCCACTCCTTTCCCCCTCAGGCTTGCAGGCCCTGGGCAGCGCCCAAGGTCACCTCCTCCAGGCCGCAGGCGCCCACCGGCCCGCGGCGCAGCAGCTCAGGTTCACAGCCAGCCGCGCGGGCCCCCGGGGCGGCGGAAGGCGGGGGCGGGGCTCTCCCCGCAGCGGGCGGGGGGCGGGGCCTCTCCCCACGTGCTCTCCCCCCGCCCGCGCGCCCCCGCGTCCTCGCGCGCCGCGGCCAATCCGGGCCCGGCTCCCGCCTCCGGCCGCAGGGCGGTCGGGCGGCAGCTCTGCGGCTGCGCGGAGAAGCCGAGCGTTGTGCCCCGAGGCAGGTAAGGCGCGCGGCGCGGGTGGGGGTCGCGGGCCGCTTGGGTGACGCCTTCGGGCTGGGAGCGCGGAGAGCGCGGCGGGCCGGAGCGCGGGCGTCCGCAGCGCAGGCGCGGCCCCGGCGCCGCCTCCCTCGCTCCGCCGGGCCCAGGGGGGAGCCCGCGGTCGCGACGCGCTCCCTTGGGAAGGGGCTTCCTCCGGAAAGCGAAAGACTGTTAAAAAAAATTAAACCTGTGTCTCAGAAGAGTTTATGCTTTGGGTTTTATGTGGGCTGGTGCCGCGTACGGGGACCGTGCGGCCCGCGGGGCAGGGGCCGAGCCGCGGTCGGGTCGCGGCCCCCGGGCGTGTGGAGGCGGCGCGGCCCCCGGGCGCTGGGCGGGGCCGGGGCCGCTCCGGGGCTGCGACCCCCCGCCAGCCCGCGCACCTCTCCCGGCCACGCTCCCCTCTCGGGGAACCGGGGAGTGTCCGGTGTTTTACAGACCCCTGGGGGGGCGCGTGAGTCAAGTGCGCTCCAGAAACTAGGGCTGACGCTTCGGAGTCTGTGTCTCCCTCTCTGACCCTCCCCTGCTCACGCTGTCTCTCTCTCTCTCTCTCTCTCTCTCAGAAAGAAATTTTAAAACCCCCCCAAAAACTAAGGCTGACGCTTCGGAGTCTGTGTCTCCCTCTCTGACCCTCCCCTGCTCACNTAAGGAGGGTGGAAAGGAAAACGGGAGAGCAGCTAGGAGCCCCGTGCAGGAGCACAGGAAACACATTATACCGTCTCCACGGAACTTCGGATGTATTTTCAAGGTAATATTAATGACATTTTGACAGATTACACGTGTACTATGAGAAAAAAAAAAAAAAAGGATGCAAGCATATTTCCCAAGATTTTTGACCTGAGCAATCAGAAAGATGGAACTGTCAGAAATAAATTTTTGTGCCCCCCCCAAAAACTAAGGCTGACGCTTCGGAGTCTGTGTCTCCCTCTCTCTCTCTAACCCTCCCCTGCTCACTCTCTCTCTCTCTCTCTCTCTCTCTCTCAGAAATAAATTTTAAAACCCCCCCAAAAACTAAGGCTGACGCTTCGGAGTCTGTGTCTCCCTCTCTCTCTGACCCTCCCCTGCTCATACTGTCTCTCTCAGAAATAAATTTTAAAAAAACCAAGAAACTAAGGCTGAGCGCCCAGCAGCAACGGGGTTAAATATATACACAGCTGTTTCGCAGTACTGAAGTCCCCTGAATGGTTCGACAAAGAAATTAAGGTAGTTTACAACAAAATCACGTAGAATAGTGACACGTAATATAGAAAAATATATAACTAGATATTGGGGGCAGAGACGATGTAAGAACAAACCAAGTCTGGATGGGAAAAAAGAGAAAGTGTGTCAGTGCTGCCCAGTAGAACTTTCTGTGGTGAGGGAAATGTCCTGTATTTAACAGTAATGTATCCATAGGTGTCAAGGGCCGGCCTTATAGCACAGTGCAGGCCCCTGTTTTGGGGGTTGAGGGTCAGATTTGTTTCCAGGGTTACTTCAGTTACATAGTTCTGGTAGTTAAACACGCTGGAGACTTCTTCCCACCTTCACCCGGCAACCCCTGCTTTGTTCTCAGTATGTAAGAACTTTTTTTTTTTTTTTAACGGTTTTTATTTATTTATTTATTTCTGAGAGACGGAGACAGCGTGAGCAGGAGAGGGTCAGAGAGAGGGAGACACAGACTCTGAAACAGGCTCCAGGCTCTGAGCTGGCAGTCAGCACAGAGCCCGACGCGGGGCTCGAACCCACGAACCCTGAGATCGTGACCTGAGCCGAAGTCGGACGCTTAACCGACTGAGCCACCCAGGCGCCCCAAGAACTTTTTAAGATCTTAAACACAGAAGTTACTCCTACATGTTTTGCCTGTGGAAGCTTGTATGCCTTTGCCCACCCCCACTTGTCGCTTGTGCTGTGCTCAGCTCTTCCAGCACCTCATGGTTTCCTGTAGCTCTCCTGCAGAAAGAACTGGTCTTTCAGTGAGAGGGAGTCAAGGTTCAGATCCTTCTGGGGGATCAACGCCTAACAGCACGTATAGGCCCATCATGTCTTGATCTCAACCCAGTCTTAAAATTGCATTGCACATTGCTTGCAAATTGAATTAAGCCATTTTAGAAAAGCAGGGATGTATCCTTATAAGTTTCAATACAGTAGACATTTATTCCTTAATGAGAGTATTTTGACTCCTGTTATCTCCTTACTCTCTCATTATTATTATATCAAGATCACTGTAAAGAAAAGGTAGAAGGTTTTGAAATGGTGATGAGGAAGAGGAGGAACATTGAACAGGAGGGGGAGAGATGGCATGGGGGAGAGAATGGCTTAGGTTTGGAGAGAGTGTCCAAGAAAGCTTCACCTGTGCAGCCTTTTTGCACTTAGGGCCTCAAAGATTGCAGCTTCCCTGGCTCTGATAACCCAAGCCTTGCCCCAGTTTACTGGTGTGCACTCCTACCCGTGGGAGAGCCGGGAGAGAAGCTAATAACCTCCTCTTAGCCAAGACAAACACTAAGGAAGCTAAGGGCAAAGGAGAACAGAAAAATAGAAGTGAAGTGGGTTAGAATTACAGCATGTCAGCACTGAAAGAGAGCATAGGGATCATCTAAGTTTGTGTAAAGTTCAGCTGCCCCCCTCTCCTTTCTTGCGGTGCAGAAACCAGCGCAGCAAGAGACCATGTGCATTGGCCTTGGTCAGAGTGGGAGTGGGTGCCCGTGCCAGGTGTAGAGTTCTGGACTCTTGACTCACAGGCGGGCTCTTATCCCCCCGCGAGATAGCGTGTCTGCATGCACCTCAGTGCATCGTATTTTGAGGTCAAAGCTCACATTCCAGCTCTGTAGTTAGATCTGCCACAGTAGGGGAAAGGAGAAACCAACTTTAAATTGGTTTAACCAGGTCTTTTATGCAAAAGTGTTGCCTTTTTCCCTTTATTTTTCTAGCGAACCCCTGCAGCCTGAACTATCATTTGTCATTATGTGGTAATTCAGGAACTAACTCGAGATTCTTTTGTTCTGTCATTTTTCTTAAAGTGCTTGCTCCGAGGCAGGTATACCATGTATTTCTGGATGGGAAAACCTATTAATTTACATTAGTTGAACTTATAAGTTTGATGCGATTATAGCCACAGTCCCAGTGAAATTGGTTGTTTTTTTTTTTTAAACTTGACAAAGATATTCTAAAATTAATCTGGAAGTCCCAAGCAGGCAAGACTAGATAAGAATACTGCACAAGTTAATGAGAGAACTTGAACTGCCAGATAACAAAACATATTGTTAAGCCACAGTCCTGTAAACAATATATTGTAGGCATGGGAATAAAAGTCAGAGACACAGTAGAGGAAGTGAAAAAAGAAGAATAACCATATTCATAAAAAGTTATGTATGAGTCATTGTGGGAAAGGATGAAATATTTAATTTGGGAACAACTCAACTATTTGGGGAAAAGTATAATTAGTGTCTTACCTCGTGCCATCACTACAATACTATTTAGATTGATAAATATATAAAAGTACAAATTAAAAAGTGAAAGATCAAGAAGGAAATAAGAATGTGTCTCTAAGTATTTCTAAACATAATACTAAAAAAAAAAAAAAAACCTAAAGGTTTTTAGTGTTGGACTGCTTAAATATTAAACCCTTGAAATAAGCAAACAAACCTAAATCTTCTTGGTATAGGATTAGGTCTTAGATATTTAAGAATATGTTAAAAGGAAAATTATCCCTGGGTTCTTTTCAAACATGAGCTAGTCTTGGCAGGATAGTGTGGAGGGAGAGAGAGCTGTGTGTGAGCAGGGAAGGTGTGGAAAGGCAGAGCAGATCTCACCTGGCCAGCGCCAGGGTTCTACCCTCTGATGTGCCATCTTATAAGGGGGGTTGAAAGTTGGACAGCAGGGGCGCCTGTGTGGCTCAGTCGGTTAAGCAGTTAAGCGTGCGACTTCGGCTCAGGTCATGACCTCATGGTTCATGGGTTCGAGCCCCTTGTCGGACTCTGTGTTGACAGCTAGCTCAGAGCCTGAAGCCTGCTTCACATTCTGTATCTCCCTCTCTCTCTGACCCTCCCCTGCTCACACTCTCTCTCTCTCTCAGAAATACATAAAAACATTAAAAAAAAAAAAAAAAGAAAGTTGGATGGGAAAGAGCATGGGAAGGATACCTCAGCGGAACGGGCTTTATACATGACAGTGCACTTCACCCTAAGTGGTAGACTGCTAATGCCTGATGCAGTAGATTTTTCAGTGGGATTGTTTGCCATGTGTGCATTTCTCCAAGTCATTTTTTTTGTTTTCTTTTGTTTTGCTTTCCCAGATTCTTTGAGGAAGCCGTCAAGTTTATTAACAGTGTTTTGTAGACATTTTGTCATAGGAAAACTTTCCTGGAGGAAAGGCAAGTAGTAGCAATGTTTCTGTGAGGAGGAAGGACTCAGGGCAGTGTGATTTCTCTTGAATGTGATTTGGGGGACTGGAGACAAGTTGGAAGCCGTGGAATGGCTGGGTCAGAGGTTGCATGTATTTGGAATAATAATAGATATTGCTAAGCTGCCCACTGTAGAGATGATACCCATCTGTAGTCCCCTAATAACGTCAGAGAGGCTGCTCTTCCACACTTTACCACTGCACTGTGGCAAACGTTTGACCTCTGATAGTCTGACAGAGCATCTTTGTGAAATAATGATTAGCGATCTGTGATCATGACTGACTGAAGTTGAGCATTGTTCCACCTATTTTAAGAGTTACCTGAATTTCCTTTTGTGGAAATTAGAACATTTTAGAGCTGGAACAGACCTTAGAGATGAAGTCCAGCCATGCAGCCTGCAGAGGATGAATCTGTTTGGACATCGCTGCTTGACTAGCTCATGACTGAAGCAAGACGAACCTCCTTCTCCTGTTTGTCATAATAGCTGTCTGACAGGGCCTGTAGAGTTCTCTGGAGCACTCTGGAATTGGCTCTAGAGCCAGAAAGTCTGAAAATTACTGTGCAGTGCTACAGTGCCTTGACTGTGAGAGACCAAATGCTTTTACCCACCCTTCACTTGAGGTATCTCATCTGGAAAATGGAATTAGGGTCCGCTTTTTTGGTCAAGGGTTCTGTGGATTGGTGTTAATATGAAGTAGTTGACACAAGTAAGCTCACAACTGTTATTATCCTCATATTTGTGCATTTTGTTATCTGACTTTTCCACTCACATGTAAGCTCTAAGCAGGCTTAGACTAAAGTTCTTAAAAATACAAGTAAAGCACTAGAGTTTAGGGTAGGGCATCTGTGCAGGGGAGGGCTGCCGGCCGGGTGTCTTCTCTGGGGAGTCCCTGTGGTCGAGACTGTTGCTTAACACACATCCTTGCCTTCGTTTTGGCTTTTTCCCCTGGCTTTGCTATCAGCGTGTTAGTCCTACTTCTGAGATATTTTATGCAGAAGATATCACACCCATCCTGACTCCCTGAGATCTGAGAAGAAATCTTAGCCTTTTTGTTATTCCCTGCTTTTTAGAGCTTTCTAGCAAGTTCCCTTTTTCATATTTCTTCAGGAAACATGAAAGCTCCGGATTATTAAAGGCAAGATTGCACGTGTGCTGGCTAGGTTGGGTCATGAGACCCAATTTGAAAACAGGAGGAATGAGAAGAGAGAAGGGAAGGCAGTTGCTGAAAATGGGTTATTTTCAACACACAGCCCAGGTGACCATCCCAGGTGTCCCTAGAATTGTCAGAAGTCAAGTTTTTTTTTTTTTTAATTTTTAAAAAACATTTATTTTTGAGAGAGAGAGAGAAGAGGAGAGGAGGGGGAGGGGCAGAGAAAGGAGACACAGAATCAAAGGAGGCTCCAGACTCCAAGCTGTCTGCACAGAGCCCAGCCCGGGGCTCGAACTCAAACCGCGGGATCATGACTTGAGCAGAACTCAGACGCTAACCAGCTGAGCCACCCAGGTGCCCCTGGTTTTGTTTTTTCAAATAATGGTTGTTATTATTTTCCTGTTCTTATTCCTGGTTATCATCACTGTACTCTGCTCTTTCTATATTTTGAAAGAGGCCAAGATCAAATTCAGAGATGGGTCCAAGGACTGAGGCTTCCCTGGCCTTCCTTCCCAGTCGACTGGAGAGCCCTCCTTCCCTAGCTCTGAGCAGTCGTCTGCATTGGCTTCCCGGAAATCTCCGTACAGATGGAGGGCCGGAGAGGCTTTAGTTTGTCATTTCTGGTTACCCGGGCACCCTGCCATTGCCCAAGTGCTAGTTGAAATAAAATGACAATTCTGACAGCCCTGAAAAGCACATGAGAAAGTTAATTTTCATGGGCCTCTCTGTTCTACTCTCACTTCTAGTGTCTCCACGTGTGGCTGTCTGACCATGTGTACACGATCTCTTGGACAACTGTTGAAAATACCGATTTTTAGCCTCCCTTCCCCTGTAGACTTCCTGAGTCAGAATCTCTGGGGGGTAGAACCCAGAAATACCCATTTTCTTTTTTTATTTTTTTTTATTTTTTTTAATGTTTTATTCATTTCTGAGAGAGACAGACAGATGAGCAGGGGAGGGTCAGAGAGAGAGGGAGACACAGAATCCGAAACAGGTTCCAGGCTCTGAGCTGTCAGCACAGAGCCCGACGCGGGGCTGGAACCCACAAACCGTGAGATCATGACCTGAGCCAGAGTCGGATGCTTAACTGACTGAGTCACCCAGGCGCCCCCAGAAATACACATTCTCAACAAGCAGTCCTTGGAGTACATTTAAGTTTGGAGCCTCTGTTACTCTGTCCTGGTTTCTTATTTCTTTTCCTTCTCCCCCCATTTCTCCTTCCCTTCCCTTTTTCTTTCCTCATTTCTTCTGACTCCTGCTCACCTGTTTGTTCCTTCCTTCTTCCTCCTTAATGCTGTGGGTTCAGATTAGCCTGTTAAACTGTTCATAATAAATTTAGTCCTTTGGAAAGTCAGCTAGGAGGGAAAAAAAAAAAGATGTGTTTCCTGCTGCCCTGCTTGTCTCCATGAAAGGCAGACCCAAAGCTATCCTTTCCGAGCACCAGCTTTGCGACAAGCATCATTCTTCTTAAGTACACATGGCATCGTGTTCACAGTCACCCGTCTAGTATAGGAGGTGGGCCTGGGGGTTGGAAATTGTCCTTCTTCAGAGAAACATTACTGACAGGACATCCCAGGGGACATGCCCACCACCGACCTCGGAATCAGACACCGGCCTGGGTCCCCTTACTGGAAGGCTCACGGCGGTGGAGGCATTTGGGGAAGATAGGGCCAGCCGGACAGTAAGGAGTGTGGGAGAGAGGGGGGTGGCAGACGGGCGTGTCTGTCTGGAGTTTGGGGCGGGTGTCATCAGTGTCCTGACCTCTGCTTTTGTCTTCACAGCCGCTGAGGGAGGGGACCAAGATGAGTGCAGAGGTAAGTTCTTCAAAAGGACCAGTTTAAGGACTGCTTCCCTTGCAGTGTTCCTTCCTCATTTCTCCTTCACAGAGTCTTGTCTCCCTAGAGAGCTTGCAGAAACATCTGCACAAACTTGAAAACATTTCCCCTCCAGCCTGCCCACGTGCACGTGCCTCTGGGCGATAGGGGATGAACTAGGCTCTTCTGAGTTCTTATCTGTGTCTGTCCAGCTTCAGTTAGATTAGAATGTCTCTATTGCAGTGAATCCTGAAACAGCAGTCAAGAGCTAGGCATGGGTGGGCAGGGGGGTGTGGGACTGCTGGGCCCAGAGCCCTGCTTTGTGTTATCACTTACCTTCTGCCTTGCCTCCTGGGGCCTCTCACTTCTGCTGTCCCTGTTCTTTGATCTGGTGAGATGTCGAGTCACTTTGCCCCTTTGTTTTTTCCTGACTAACCAGCTCCTTCCTTTCTAAGCCCGGCTGAACCCTGGGGTCTGTCTCTTCAACCACTCTTGGTTCGATGTCCCTAACTTTCCTTTCCCTCCTGTCCTGCTCCTCCACCAGTCCAAACGCAGGGCAGTGGTCTGGGGCGAGTGGCACCGCTTCATGCTGTTTGCAGCCTGTAGCTATGGCTCAGCCCTCACGTGGGTACTCAGCACTGCCAGCCCGACCCCTGTGTAGCCGCACGAAGCCCTCTTTCCCACTGCGCTGGACAGCCAGCTCTGGCCTCACGCCTCCCTGCCCCCTCCTTACTGTTAGCATACGGACCGCCTTCTACCTGACAGACAAACGTTAGAACCATCAGACATCGTCTGTCTCCATTCCTGCCTCCCCGTTTGTCTTACTGCTGCTCTTGTCACAGTGGAAGGGATGCTTATCAGTGAGAGAGCTCCAGGCTGCGAGTATAGGAAAACCCAACTTCAGTGTTTTTAATCTTGGAAGTCCAAATGGAGGGCAGATTTCAGAGCTGGTAGATCAGGTGGCCCGGCAATCTTGACAGTCCAGGATCGTTTCACTGTTCTGCTCTTTACCAAGTGTTGGCTTTATTCTAGAGAAGCTTCCCCTTATGGTTATGGGATGGCTGCCAGGAGCAGTTGGGGCTACATGCTTTCTCATTCACTTTGAGCAGGAGAAAGAGATAGCTTCCTGTGGTTTTCCCAGAAAAGTAGGAACTTCTTTTTTTTGAAGCCTGACCAACTGCCTCCTTAGGTCTTATTAAGAATTATGTCACATGCCCACTCCTGGACTAATTACTGGGTTTAGAGGAGATAAGATTTTGCCAGTTGGCTTAGATGAGCCAGGCCTGCCCTCAAGGAGCACCCCTCTCCCCCCCATGCTTTGGGCTAGACACAGGAAGAATGGGGACCTGTAGCATCCAGTCTAAGACGTTTCTAGTGTCCCATGAAACCCCTGTCCATACTCTGAATTGCAAATTCTGTTGCCTCTTCAGACCTCTTATGGCTTCCCTAATTATCTCCCTTACCACCTAAATTGTTAACCTCATTCTACTAATTCTTTCTCATTAATATTTCAAATGCCTCAGTTTTTACTTTCTTCAGAACAAAACAACACATGACATCTTATCAAGCTACTGTAATCTTACTGTTCTCAATCTCTTTCAAAGGGAGGCTTGCAAGAGATGTCCACAGGTAATTTCTCCATTTTATTCCTCTCTCCAAGTCATTCTCAACCTGCTGCCGTTGGGCTTCTTTCTTACTATTATACAGAAATTCATTGTAAGTAATAATAGTAATATCAGGCACCTGTAAGTATAAGTAGTAATATCAGTACAAACACCTAATACAAAACTCAAAGGCTACAAAATGATAAAAGTTAAAAGTAAGTCTCCCTACTGCCTGATCCCCTAGCCTTCCTTCCTTCAGGGCTGACTTCTCTTAACCACTTCCTGGTGCCTTTGACCCCTTGTTGTGAAGCCCCCTGTGACCCACTTAAATTCTCAGGGTCTTAGGAGTCCTGAAGAAAAAGTAGGAACTTTGCATTAATACTAAGCTTATACCTCCTGGCCCTGCAACAGTGGCTTTTTCCTGTTAACCTTTGAAAACATTCCTAGACTTTGGATTCCCTTTAACTTTCCTCCGTTCTCTTCTGCCTTAAACGCCCAGGGTTCAGTGTCTGTGACCACGTTCTCACTTCCCTTTCACATCAGCCTCATTGCAGTCTGACGTGGTTCTCACCGCTCCACCAGAACTTTGCAGCTGAAAGTCACCAGTAGCCCACATTGCCCAATTTTGTGGAAGCTTTCTTCTTGACGCATTTGACCCTCTTGGCCACGTTCTTGCAATATTCCCATGACATCTCGGGATTTCTGCCCGTCTCTCTGCTCACTTCTTCTCAGACTCTTTCTAGGCTTCTCTTCTGCCTGCTTCTTAAAACTTTGCATTTCCCAGGATACTTCCCACCCGACCCATTGTCCTGGGCTGCTCATTCAGCCCACAGTTTTTACTGATCAGTTGCATACTTAGGAGTGACCCAGATGTTCAGCCAGCCCCTACTCAGCGTCAGGTCCATCCATCTGGAAGCCTGGATTGCTCATCTTCACTGAGAGGTGCCTCAGGTGCTCCCAACTCAGTGTCACCCAAGCCGGACCTGCCGTTGTTCACCTGCCCCGCGGAGGCTTCTCATGGGGCCCCGCAGGGAAGGGCACCCGTGCCGTCCGTTTCCGTGGCCTAGAATCCTGACGTCACTCCCCTCCCACACTCCATGCTGTAAATCCTTCTCTTGTCTTTATTTTGATCTAAAATTTATGAAACAGTACATTGTACAGACTCTACACTTGGCTTCATGCCCGCAACAGCACAAAGCACAGATGTGGTGCTCGTGCTCATGGAATGTGCTGAGAAGTGAGGCCATAGTATCTTCTGCATCTGTCTTTCTCTTGCTTGACTTTCTGCCTCCTCATCACTTACTCGCTTGCCATACTTACTCTCCTTTCCTTTTTTTTTTTTTTAATGTTTACTTCTTTTCGAAAGAGACTAAGCACACGTACACGGGTGGGGAGGGTCAGAGAGAAGGGGACAGATGATCCTGCTCTGTGTTGACAGCAGAGAGCTCAGTGCGGGGCTCAGACTCCTGAACTGTGAGGTCATGACCTGACACTTAACCATGACCTGGACACTTAACCAACTGAGCCACCCAGGTACCCCTCTCTCCCCTCGTTTACTTACCCTCTTCTAGGTCTTTTGAGGGGCCGAGGAGGAGACCTCAGGCATAGAACGGACTCCTCAGCCCCTGTTCGTGACGTGCAAAGACATTTCATGGTCCCTGCCAGGCTCCTCTCGTATTTATTTTCTCGTTCCTTTTGGTCTTCATCCCCATTCTCACCCTCAAAGACAGCTGTTCTAATGTATTAAATGATTGCCTTCCTGTTTTCATGTATTTATGAAAATAGATGTTATTGTCTATATCAATAGCCTTTACATTCACATTTGGTAAGATTGACTTTTTAATTTTTTTTTTGGCCTACAGTTCTGTGAATTACCACTGTCGAGATTTAGACCCTCACCCCCAAATACTCCTTTCTGTTGTTTCTCCTTTGTTGCCAGCCTTCCACACCCCTGGCAGCCACTGTGTAATATACCTTTAATTTTCATAATTGCATTACGTTACAATTTATTACCTGGTTCTCTTTCTTTTTTTTTTTTCTACTAAGCACCACATTGTCAAGATAAAACATGTCGTTAATCTGCTGCACAGTATCCCATGATGTGCATGTATTTAATCTTAACAAGACACCTTGGAGTAAGATGCTGTTATTGCCTCAGTTTTGTAGATGAAAAAAAGGAGGATTAAGTAGATTGCTCAAGTCACAGGGTACTGGGGACAGAATGGTGATGCAAGCCCTGATGTCTCTGACTCCATGAATGCCTTTCTTCTTGTGCATATTCAGTTAATCCTGTCCATCCAGTTCAAATGTTGTTTCTGCTGCATGAAAAGTTTCTCAGGGCTTTCTCTCTGGAAGTGATATCTCTCTCTCATTAGTTCCCATTGATTACTCTTTATCTCTCTCTCTCTTTTTTTTTTTTTTTTTTGTTACTTCCCATATTCTGCCATCAGATATAGCTGTCTATATGTCTTGTTCATCTGAGTATACCCACTGCATCTGGCATAATACCTCATACTTAGTTTGTCCTCACCAAGTGTCAGACGGTCTAATGGTCAGATGGTTTAGAAACTGTTCAGTAATCTTGTAATGCTGTCCAGAACTTGGATGAGTTAGAGGAAATGTAGAGGAAGGAAGTCATATGACAGAAAATTTCAAGGAAAATTTGCTGTGACTCAGTCTGGCTGGAGTAGAAGGGTAGAGAAAGATTGTCAGCCTCAGCCAGCCCTTGGGTCTTAGAGGAACTTTGCTGAATATGTGAATGACTCCCGGGATTTCGAGCATTTCAAGCTGGGTGCCTGATAGAATCTGTAGAGCCACTGGCCTTTGCCCAGAAGTTCAGAGCACAACCAGTCAGGTGGGGTGGATGGTTGGCATGTAGCACAGAGCGTGATGATCCAGGTCAGAATGAGATGGGCAGGTGGAAATTGGAAATGCCCAACTGGCATTTCTTCTTAGGATTGGAGCTTGGAGGAAAGAAGGGCTCACAGCTCAGGATGTTGGAGTCTTCAGTATAAAACTGGTCGTGGTGAAGGGACTCCCCTCTCCCCCAACCTCTGAGAATATGGGGAAGAGCAGAAAACGGACAAGGATTGAGCACTGGGAAATATGCACATCTAGGGCGCAGGGTGAAGAAGGAAAGTAAAGTATGAACGGGACGCCTGGGTGGCTTAGTCGGTTGAGCGTCCGACTTTCGCTTAGGTCACGATCTCATGGTTCGTGGGTTCGAGCCCTGTGTCGGGCTCTGTGCTGACTGCCAACTCAGAGCCTGGAGCCTGTTTCAGTCTGTGACTCCCTCTCTCTCTGACCCTCCCCTGCTCACGCTGTCTCTCTCTCTCTCTCTCCTAGAAATAAATAAAACATTAAAAAAAATTTAAAAAAGTAAAGTATGAAGAAACC